AGTTCAACAATCATTTCATCCAGAATATTCATCATCATTAATCCATAATATTCATAAAAATGAACAATCAATCAATCATCATAATAACTAATAACAATCAGCGGCCTAGCATCGAGTGTTAACACCCTAGCTTACCGTCATGCATCACATAAGATCCCTTTTAGTTGTTAAAATACCATCTTTATTCCAAGAAATCATCCTTTTATTAATCATAATGGTTTGGTATCAAAATATAGAATTCCATAACTAAAAAATCATATTTTCTAAATAACAATTGATTAATATATGATAGGAAATTCAATTATTAGCTATTAGCTTCATTTTCTTCAATAGTGTAGGGTGACAGTCTACTGTCACTTCTGATAATCTACTATCTGATGTTCAGAATGGGCTGATAATCGATTATCACACTCTCATAATCGATTATCAAACTTCAGAGAGGGCTGACAGTCGATTATCACATTCTGATAATCGAATGTTGCTCAGCTTTGTTACAAAAATCTGCAGAACGATGAATAATCGATTTTCAAGTTGATAATCGATTATCCATCGTCTTCTACCTCGAGCCAACTTGTGGAAATGTCACTTTTACTCACCAAACTTCATTTAAAGTATATAAAAGTGTTCTCCAAGGTTCATAGATCATTTTGGCATCATTAATTCATAGTTTTAACATTAAAATCATGGTTTGTGATTCTTAATTGTCTTCAAGCATGTCAAACACAAAACTCAACCAAATGACCATTTATGAACGTAGAAACGACCTATATGAACATTCTAGTCATTAGATATATCTACGGGCTTACTTCGAAGCTTAGCGATGATTCTGGCGATTGGACGATGAAACTTTCGGCGAACACCACGGCTTGCTCCGGTGTTTTTGGCATCAACAAACTATTGCAAAATGCTCTCCTCACTCTTAGGATTCTAATGGGATTAATTTTATAAGGAATGGTGCAGATTGGGAAGCTGGTTTTTTGTCCTCCTTATATAGGAAATGAAGAAGAAGAAGACAAGTCCTGTAGCTGTAGCTCTACGTAGGAAATGAATTAGTGCGCTGGGAGGCGCCGTCTCCACAGTGTCCCTGATTGGGACCAATTTTGGTTCTAGTCGGGGTACACTTTTTGATCCAACTTTCTCCAAATTGAAATCCGTTTGCACCGTTGAGATCAGATAGTCGAATTCTATTCAACGATATACTTTTCATAATTATTTGTAATACTTTTTTCGACATCATATTTTTGAGTGGTTGACTTTGATAGAGTAAAAATAGATTCAGTTGACCTTTATTTAAAAAGGTTCTCATATTTAATTCATATTAATTATTCTCATCATTTATTTCAATAAATCATTTTAATGTTCACATGATAATTAATTTCTTCATTTATTCTTGATTTGGGTCTGTACTTAGGTTCCCAATCAAGAACACACAAATAGTCAATAAATTGGATTTATCTCTATGAGATTTATCCTGATTATGATATGGGATATCAAAACATATTTTTATCGGCCCAAAGCCCATAACAATTTATTTTAATCAAAACAAATTTGATTTATTTTAATAATTATCTATTAATAATTCTAAGGTATAATTTGGGGCGTTACATAGACAAACTAGAGTTTGCTAAAGCTTTCCCGGGTCCAGGGGCTAGTTATGATGAGTTTACAAATCCTGGAGATTGGACTTAGAGTTTGTAATATTATTTCATGTAATCCTAGTTCTATTTGTGTTGGAATAATATTATTTATGAACATTATGAGTTAACCACAAATATTATTCTAAGCTACATGGCGAGTGCAAGTCAGAAAAATATTTTCAACATCATAATGCATCATGTAAATATCAAACATTTTTTTAAGATGTGTCAGATAAAATATTTTATTATACAAAGTGTTCGACATACGTAGATTCAAGCAAATATGAATATTTTTGGGATACAAATTGAAAGATAATTTATTGTTTACAGAAAATTGTCACTATTGTAAACATTCATTCTTTAGTACATTCTCGAACTTTCACTTGACGATAGTTTGACATTATAGGAGCATCATCCTTGGTTTGAATCGTTTTTAGAACGTTGGCTTGTTCCTGAACGAACAGATTGACTTTGAATAGAAGTAATCGAATTTGGTCCAGGGTTGTGGGACATTCCCCTTGGAAATGTCCAGGTTTGCCACAACCTAGACATAATCCTTGCGTAAGCTGACATTCTCCTCGATGGTGTCTTTTACAAATATTACACTTTGGATGTTTCCATACTCTCATTTTGTTTATGGATGACGTCGATTGATTTGCCATTGACCTTCCCTTTTTCAAATGTAGGGCACTATCAATATCCTGCATGGGTCTCTTCCCACTTGTATTTGATCGTACTTTTGAATTCGCATTCTCACTCTTCAAACTTTCATAGTAGTCACTTAGATCTTTTTCAGCTTTGGAGATTAGGTCGTATTCCTCAATGAAATCCACAGTTCGAATGGTAGATATGTGCGGCCTGAGATCAGGTCGAAGTCTTCTGCGAAACTCCTCAATGTGGACAGCTGTTGTGCCAACCAGCATGGGTGAAAATTGAGCGAGGTGGACAAATTTTTGTCGGTATTGAGGGAGTGTCATATCTCCTTGCTTCAATTCAATAAATTCAGCACACTTGTCTTCACGGAATCGGGCTAGGATATATTCTTTCTTGAACGCCCAATCAAAGAATTCCCAAGTCCAAGGTCTGGGTGTGTTTGGATTTTTGTCAGTGCGTTTCCAGCATTCATAAGCTTCTTTGTGGAGCAATTGAGATGAAAATTTGGGATGGTCAAAAAAAGGTATATTTATAATTTGTAGTACACGAGCGGTCTCCTCGATCCAATCAAGAGTGATCTAGGGTTAAGCAATTCGATCTCCCAAGAACTCCTCAGCACCATTATCTTTCAAAATTTTGAAACTGATCAAATGAGGTGGTGGTCGAGGTGGTGGTTGAAACATAGGGGCATTGGTCATTTGTTGCAAAAAGTTTACCATTAAGGTAGGTAGCATAGCATCAGGTTGACCTCCAATATTTTGATCATTTTGGGGAACATGTTGTGAGTTCACTGGTTCATTTTGAATAGGAAGTGTGAAACTGGATGCTACAGTATGAACATTCTCGTGCCCATTGTTTGGCACTTGGTTACTTTTAGCATGAGTGGTTTCTTGACTCATTCTACAATAACAGAAATTCCTTCATTAGGATTTTTTATTTGAATAGACGAGTTGACAACGAGTATTTATTCAATCAGACTACATCGATGTTTAAGTCACTAGTAATTTCATAACAAGGCGTCACTTCATTCAACAAGGTTGAACTATCTATAACTTCTAACAAGTAGGTTCTGTGAATTTGACGGAACAAATTGTCGTTACGTAGTAAAGGGTATCGATTCTTGATCGTCAGTTCATTCAGTTATCTTAACAGGGATTCAAGGTATCTTGACCGTAAGTCAATCTCAGAGAATATGATGGATCCTCTAAGCTGATCAAATAAGTCATAGATACGAGATAAGGATAACGATTTTTGGTAGTTGATACAGAGTTTCATCGATCCATCTTTATTTGCGAATTCATTCGAGGTGAACTCGGTCAGTTTAGTAATCAGCTTTGCTTTCACCTCTATGAGGTTACCATCGTTGGTCTTAAGTTGAAGATTTCTTCGTCAAGAGTTGTTAATAGCAACGTCATTTAGTCAGCATATTCATACTAAGGACAATTATCAATTTCCTTGTATGGTATTTCAACGAGGTGTTAGTAGTCACAGAGTTTAGTGATTCTAAACGTTCGTGTTTGAACCAGCGATTAGATCGTGTTGAGTCCACATGAGGATTATTTACATCGGCTTCATAGATGTTATTCAATATTAATCGTTTCTTCATAGTCGTCTCACTTCCATGTGACTTTATGAGGCAAATCGGTTTCGTTGATTGCGACGCGATGCACATGTTGATAACGTATTAGAAGGTCATATATTTTTTGTTTATTCCTTCGTCTCGTGCCGAGTACAAAAATTTCAATTTGAATCTATGTTCGATACGATTTGAGTACTAACAATTGTTATCTAATGAGAATTTTATCATATTCAATATTTATCAAGTAAATTCTCATACCTTTCCTAGAGCAGAGAAATGCGAGAGTCGTGGATGTGACAAACATTTTTTTAATTCATTTTTAATCCGAAGATCGGTTATAAAACCATTTGCTCCTATACCAAATTGTAACACCCTAATCCATCCTGGTCTGCATCCCCTTTTGGACTAAAGAATTAACTTGGAAATCGTAACGATTTAAAGCTTTTTAAACACATTTTATTTATCACAATAATATTTTTCATAACATATACAGTACGGAGTATTCAACAATATTTCAGAAGCGAATTTAATATTGACATATCATAAATCATTTCAAACTTGTCACATCCTTCCCAACAATCTCGCGCCATACTTTTCAACTGAAGGTTGAGGAACCTAAATGCTTGAAATAAGGTGCAAAAGAGATAACATGAAAAGAGGATGGGACTTGTAAGTAAACAGGTAACATCGAAGTACATTCATGAAAATGTCTATTACATTTTAAGAATCACCTTTTTTGCACCTACATGTCCAATACAATTGAGAACAACTTCCATACATTCTACATGCATTCAAGAGGGAAAATTCCCCGATACATCTGACATGCGTTCAAAAGAAAAAAATCCAAAATCTGCAAGAGAAATATAGGGGAAAGGGCAAGTTGAAGGGTAGTTCTGCAGCTGGGCAAGCCGACAGAACCCCGATCACCAACCGTCACGAGCGACCACCTTTCTTCCCCAACATGGAACAGAGATGGTCGCCCCCTAGCCGCAGCAAACACCCTCGTCCTTCTCCTGCAAGGGAAGGAGGGGAGGCGACTCACTTTCCTGTGAGCCCCAATTGGCATCACCTAGATGAGGATGAAGACCCTGAGGCAGCTCGAGCTACTCCAGGTTGCCTAGGAGTATTTTGAGGGGGCGAGCGTCTAGCGGGGTGTGGTAAGGAAGAATCTAGTTCTTCCCCCACCACAACCTCTTCTTTAGGCCGCACCGGCGAGTTGGTGCGACTCTCGCTAGTCCACTGCTCTAGACTTGTGTAATATGCTCCCTCATGCTCTAAGAGGGGAAAGTGCTCATTCTTCATGCTCTCCCAAGCCATGCAATGCAATTGGCGGATGGGACATGGAGCATCCCAGTCAATCTGTCTGTTTGGCAGACGGTTGGCTGAAAGTGCCTTGTACGGCGCGCTAAAGTCGTCATAAGGATTTGGCGGTATGGGCGGCGGTTTAACCGAGGGCCATTTCCAGCGAGGCAACCGACGACAGAATTCTTAGGGGTCTAGCCCCCCAGTCGTTGGAGTTAATAGATTTGGGGGAAGAGGCAGGCTCCGGTGAAGAAGGGGATGGCCCATCGGAGAGATTCAAAGAAGTAGGAATTTCTTCAAACATGGCAAAAATGGAGAAAGAGAAGGTGTTTGATGGTGGAGCTAAACGAAGAATGAGGGGCTTATAAATAGCCAATGGGGGGCTTATAAATAGCCCCGGGTGAAGAAACTAAAGGGACGGTCAAGTCCCAAGGCAGCTGAACCGATAAAGTAACATTGAGCGGAACAAAGGTCCAACCAAAGGCTGTGTGAAAGGCATTGGGTCAGTTGCGTGGCACGCCAGCTAGTCCCAAGGCTGGGCCTAGCTGTGCGGTTGGGCCAAGGATAGAGGTTGGGCCCAAGCTAAAGGCCCATCCGTGTCTACGAGTTAAGCCAACTTAAAGGGAAGAATACAGCAGCAAAGCACAATGAAAGTAAAGGCACGAGATGAATAAAGCAAAACATCAAACATGGGATATTGTATCAAAGCACCAAAGCGTTCCAAAAAATCACAAGTCTTACAAGTTTAAAGGTAAGAAAGACAAGGGAAAGGAGGTAAATCAGATGCCCAAGCTAGCGCTTCCACCCGCCTTGGACGCCGCTGGGTTGGCCCCAGGGTTCTGGTCGCCCGACCCACCTTGGTCGTCCAGCGCAGCTTCCTCTTCTTCCTCGTTAGAGGCACTTGAGCTCCCCTCGTCCAAGTAAGGACTGGGGTCGAACTCAGCCAAGGCACGACAAGGAGGGGGAAAATCAAGGTCGGGGAAGGAGAATCCCTTAGGGAACCGGGCTAGCTTGTTGCGGAAAACTTGTTGAGCACGAAAGAGTCCGCAATTGAAGGACTTCTTTCCCTCCTTGTTCATCCATTGGACCCCGGGCTCGATTTTGAGCCATTCGGCCACCAGCTTGTCCATCTGCTCCATAGCGACCGCAGCGAAATCAGGAGAAGATTTGAACGACTCGATCGCCTCCTCCATGCGGCGGACCTGGTCGCTCTTCTCTACCTCCAGCTGCTGGATCAGATCGGTCTTCTCCCCCTCCAACTCAGCTACGCGAGCAGAAACGGACCCCAATTCAGAAGATAAGGAGGCGTTCTTAGTCTCAATGACGGCGGAGCGACCTTTCTCCTCCTCTAACTCCCTTGCGAGGTGAGCGACCTCCTCGTGCAGCTCTCTCTGCTTATCTTCTGCGGCCTTCCTCGCTTCATCCATCGTTGCTTGGCGGTCTTGCCTCCGGCCAACGAGCTCGATCATCCCCAGCGTAGCCTGAACGAAAACTTAAAGATTCAGAGATGTAAGGCGGAGAAGGGCGAAAATGGAGTTAAGGAAATACCTGGCTAAGCTTCAGGAGAACCGTGTTGTTGAGGTCATCCTCAGAACCGGCCGAGATGCGAGCCCGATCTTGCGCGTCCAGAGTGACCAGGGTCTCCAGCTGCACGTCCCCTAGACTTGGGGACGGGGGCGGAATGTTGAACCTCGTTGAGCGACCCTCGGTCGCCACCTCGTAGGGCACTACGGGTGATGAAGGAGGTCGCTCTGAGAAGGCTCCCTGGGACCACCCAGCTAGGTCGCCACCCAGCATCAGAGAGTGCGCCGGGGAGTTGATCGCCATCGTCCCCGTTTCCAGGGCTGCATCATCCTGGTCCTCCACCTCGATCACGACCTGCTCACGAGGAGGACTATCTTCGCCATGAGAGGAAGAGCGCCTGCTTCTGCTTTGCTTGGTCGCGTCCCTCTTACTCTTCCTCCCTGCAACGAAGTGACCGAGCAGAAGGTAATTGTCCATCTCTTCTTCTAATCCTCGTGGCTCAACTGAAAACAAATGGAATGGTTAGTCTCCGAAGGAAATAAACTTGAAATCCCTGAAAAAAAGAGAAGGAAACTACCAAAAGGACCACAGTCAATGCCTCCCTCAGGAGCATCCCTTAGCAGGTCGGGCTAATGTCCCCCGGGAATATCCCTTAGTAGGTCGGGCTGGTGGCGAAGCTCGTCCTGGACAAACGCAAACCCCAGCGCGGCTAGAGATTCCTCGGTCACCACCTTCTTAATCTCGACGGCCCCTTGGCCGCAGAGTTGACAGGTGATGGACATGAGGGTGGCGTCGAATGGGGGACATGGGACGCAACGGAAGGATGGGAGTCCTGAACCCGTGAAAGGAGATTCGGGCCCCGTCGAGACAAAGACAAAGAAGGGCTTCCAGTCTTTGGTCGACCCCTTCTTGTCGCTGGTAAAGAGTTTCCTGGACCGCTGGGAAAGGCTGGCATAGGACGCTCAATCCCCATGACCTTTGTTCAATTTTAAGGTGAACAAAATGTGGTCAAGGGTTGGCTTCACCCCTACATCCTTGCATCTGACCAGGTACCCGGCGATGTACCTGTGGGAGTTGGGGACCATTTAACAAGGAAGGAGGTCCACTTCGTTGAGGAACTCAATCAACAACGAGTGGAGAGGAAACCATAGCCTTTCTTCAGAGACGCTAGATGAACTGTGAAGAACCCTGAAGGAGCGTCCAGGGCGGTCTAGGTGCTAGTGGGCCTTAGGACCTCAATAGAGGGTCCGACCATNGTCAGTGGCATCGGCGAACCCCCCCCCCCCCCCCCCCCCCCGTGCTAGGGTCGAGGGAGGAAATTGCTTCTTCAAACGGCGCCATTTTTGGCCAGGCACAGCCGCCGGCAAGGGCTGAGACGATTGGGTCTGATCTAGGTCACGGCCAGAGGCCGATTGATCGGTTTGGCGAGAATTGGACGATGGGAAAAGCCGAATCAGAATCAGAGACAATCATGGTGGCGAAAAAGGGAACTGACCTGGAGAAGAAGGAAAACTGGTCGGGTAACGGCGGAAGTACACACGAAGAGCAATTGAGAAGGCAAATGGGGAAGATTGGGGTCAAGCAGCCGTTTTAACAGGCACTAGGAAGGCGAAGCAGCAGGCCATGATTACCTTTTAGTGGAGATCGTGCTAAACGTCACGCGGAACACAAGGAACGACCCGAATCCGTGGTTGAACGCCCACGTGGACCTCGTAAACTCCCCATCCCTCCACGTGGCCCATTTGAGGAATGAGGAGTTGGGGGGCTTGTGATGGGCCAATATCCAGCGAGCGGCCTAGATTAATTATCCACCGGGCCCCGGGTCAAGCGCGTGATAAAAGCTTGGACCTGGGCCGGCCCATAACACGAGGCCCGGATCACTCCAACCCAAAATACAGCTGGCAGAGCCAATCCGCAGGAGGAGACTAAGCTAAGTGGCGAAGAGGAAGCCGGAAAAAGAGGATCGCGCCATTGACGGGATGGAATCCCTTTGATTATGAATTACCTTAACTGTCTAGAATCCATGTATAAATAGAAGGGACCCGAGAGGGGAAAACTCAAGCTGAATCAATCTAATAATACACACATAATTCTCGAGTTCTTGTTCTTATTTCATTTTCTTGTGATCCGTTCTTCTGAATCGGATCATTTGGTGGATTTATTGTCCATCATATATGTAACGCCCTGCGACCCGGTCTATTAGAATTGATTAATCTAATTAATTAATTACTAACTCGGACCGGGGTTTGGAAAATAGAATCCTTAGAAAAAAAATTATTTGATTATGTCATAATATTCGTTTTGACTGTCTGATTCCAGAAACGTAAACGGATCTCAATTCGGACCCGTTCGGGGAAAATACTGCGTACCGATCAGGTAAGATTTTATACAACAGAGTGGAATTTAGGGAGATAACTCCCATTCAAACCACACGCCACTACACTCCTCATTTTCCATAACCCCCATCATTATTTTCTCCATTTATCTCTCATAAATCCCCATTACTCTTCTCTTTCAATTTAAACCCATTCCAATCCCTTTCCTTAGCATTTTGTAACTCCCAAGGCATTCACACACCCTCTCCCTTTTCCCCTTGCATTTTTGGCCAGTTCATAGCAGCCAGGCGAGGTAGTTTCCGGCGAGAAGGAGAAGAAGAAGGGAGAAGGGAAGAAGGGCTACGCGAGAAGCCATCCGTTCGTCGTTTGTTGTCCATTCGTTAGCCGTTCATACGTCCGTTACTGTTATCGTAAATCTCTGCGTTTAGAGGTGAGTACGTTGCCCTCTAACTTTAGAATTCGTAGTGTAACCATATCGTTATATTCATAGGATTACCGGCTAAACCTACGTGTACCCACATCATCATGACTTTTCGGTTATTAGGCCTTTCGATTACACACTTGTTAGTATAAACGTTACAAAACGTTGCAAACTCATCAATACGTAAGCTGGAAACATAAACGTTCATTTCTTAAACCCTCAACGTCTTAATGAAAACCCAACAGGCAAAAATAGGAACCAGCGTGCCTTAATAATCGATTTACAGAACTTGACAATCGATTATTAGGTCGCGCTGAACTCCTCAGTTTTTTGAGCAAGACGTGATAATCAGTTTTTTGTACATACCACAGGCGGTTCCTTATTTGCAGCCGCAGATTGCGGCCAACATGCTCCAGTTCCTCCAGCAGATGGCCGGGGCGTATGTACCACCACCGCCACCTCCTGTGGTGGTGGTCACGATTGAGAAGCTGAAGAAGAACAGAGCCGAGGAGTTCTGTGGTGACCAGATCCCGGAACCCATGGCCGCGAAGCGCTGGCTCGAGCGTGTGAGTCGAGTACTCGGGACCTTACGAGTTCCAGCAGAGCAGAGAGGCGACCTAGCCATCGCCTTACTTCAGGATGCCGCCTACGACTGGTGGAAGCGCGCAGGAGCGATCATCCCGGAGCCGGTGCCGTGGGCGACCTTCGACGAGCTCTTCCGTGAGGAGTATGTGCCCAAGCACTTCATGGAGGAGAAGCGTGATGAGTTCATGAAGTTCACACAGGGTGAACTTACGCTGCCAGAGTATCGCCAGAAGTTCGATGAGCTGGCTGAGTTTGGTCGGGACTTGGTGCCGACAATGGAGAAAAGGTGCAAGCGCTTCAGGGAGGGGTTACGCCCTGATTTGTCCTCCGGACTGGTCTCCGCACCGAGAAATGACATCAACGACTTGTACAAGCAGGCGTTGGAGTTACATACGGCCTTACTCAGGAAGGCTGAGTATGAGCAGTCACAGACGACGCATCCTCGACCGCCACCGCCATCCAGATCCGGCTCGAGCAGCAAGAGGCCTCCTCACATACCGAGCAGCTCGCACTCGAGCAAGAAGGTTAGGTCCGCACCAGCCGCGTCGTCAGCACTCACTCAGAAGAGTGGGAAGAGCCAGAGTTAGAGCGGATATCGGAACTCGATCTGCAACCTCTGCGGCCGGAGGCACTCCGGTGTGTGCTGGTTCACTCAGGGCCTATGCCTTGGGTGTGGACAGGCCGGGCATTACCGAAGGAACTGCCCGACGAACCCTGGTGAGGCGTTCCCGACAGCGCCCGCAGCTGCAACCTCAGCCCCAGCAGCCCAACCCACACCGAGTCAGAAGTCGGTAGCGGCGTCCAGTCAACCGAGAAGGCCGGCACAGAGCGCTCAGTCCGGGAAGGCTCCAGCCCGTACTTATGCGATGCATGGACGTACTGAGCAGGTTCCACATTGTCATATCTGTGTGCATCTATGCCTGTATCGTCTAATATTCCGAGAGAGAACCTAGAAAATCCAGTGATTGTGTCCAATCCGTTGGGACACAGTCTATGTCTCAAATATATCTATCCTGACTGTCCGCTAGTTGTGCAAGGGAAGAGCTTCCCTGCAAATCTGATAGAGCTCCCACATCGAGAATTCGATGTTATCCTGGGCATGGATTGGCTTACAGCCAACCAAGCCGTTGTTGATTGTGGCGCACATACGGTACGACTGAAAGCCGAAGATGGTAATGACGTTCTGATTCGTGGCGAGCTTTTCCCGAAGGCTCCCGAATTTATCTCATTTATGCAAGCTCGTCGCCTCATACGCAAGAAATGCGAGGCCTTTCTTTGCACCGTCCGCGACACGCAGCTAGAGGCACCCGGACGGGAGGAAATCCCTATGGTGTGCGAGTTTCCAGACGAGCTGCCCGGACTACCACCCCTGAGGGAGGTAGAGTTCTCCATCGACTTGGTTCCGGGTACGGGACCCATCTCCATCACACCTTATCGCATGGCCCCGGCAGAAATGAAGGAGCTGAAGGCTCAACTGCAGGAGCTCTTGGATAAGGGTTTCATATGTCCTAGTGTGTCCCCTTGGGGCGCACCAGTCCTATTCGTTCGCAAGAAGGATGGTTCGATGAGGCTGTGCATCGATTACCGTCAGCTGAACAAAGTCACCATCAAGAATCGTTATCCTCTTCCTCGCATTGATGACTTGTTTGATCAGTTGAGAGGAGCCACAGTCTTCTCTAAGATTGATCTGCGATCAGGGTACCATCAGATCCCGGTCAAGAAGGAGGATATTCCTAAGACAGCGTTCCGCACACGTTATGGTCACTACGAGTTCACGGTGATGCCTTTTGGGTTGACCAACGCACCGGCTGTCTTCATGGATCTGATGAACAGTGTGTTTCGCAAGTATCTTGATCAGTTCGTGGTTGTTTTCATCGACGATATCCTGGTGTACTCAAAGACGCGTGAGGAGCACGCGGAGCACCTGCGCACGGTACTCGGCATCCTACGAGAGCAGAAACTTTATGCCAAGCTGTCCAAGTGTGATTTTGGTTGCACGAGGTCACCTTCCTCGGCCACGTCATCTCGGCTGAAGGAGTGAAGGTGGACCCGTGTAAGATCTCGGCGGTCACGGAGTGGAAGATTCCACGCAATGCTCGAGGATAGCTTCACCTTTGCACAAGTTAATGAAGAAGGACGTGAAGTTTGATTGGACCGAGGCTTGTCAGTAGAGCTTCGAGAAACTGAAGGAGTGTTTGACCCAGGCACCCGTATTGGTTCAGCCGACCCCAGGAGTGGAGTATACGGTATACAGCGACGCTTCACA